TATATATATATATATATATATATACATACATATATACATATACATATATATATATACATACATATATATATATACATATACATATGTATATATATGTATATATATACACACATATACATAGATATACATATATACATATATATATATATACATATATAGTGCATGTTTAATTACAAATAAAGAAGGTCTCTCATAACACTCGTCGACACCTCCATCACTGAATCCAAGGCTGTGGTTCCCAACCAACCAGCAGCATTCAGAGTCTAAACGTGGTCGTAATTTGTCGATTTTAGGGAGCCTAAAAAAAAATTGTAGGAAATCTTAGTTTTTTTCCCCTCGTCTTTTAAAGGTTAAATATAAAAAAAAAAACGAAACAATAAGAATAAAATCCTGTGATTCCGCCTCGGAGCCCACACCTCTGCCAGACTGTACAAGGAGACAAACACACAGGTATTCATCTCCATGGCACAAGGCCAGAGAGAGACACACAAACGCCTCCTCCTTCTCCCACTCCTCACCATTAGTCTCTCCTCTCCTCTTCCTCTCACTCTCGGCTCTTTGTCTGGATTGTGGCTTTGCTCATGTGACGACAGTCTGCCGCAATGCCTCATCTGTCCTGAGAGATTCTTAACAAACATCTCCTCCTCCTTCTTCACCTCTAGTACAGCTCTCTCACACACACTCACACACACACTCACAGCCCTCCCTGTCACTGTTTGAGTCTAGGATGATTAGAATGATTGCTTTAACCCCACCTGGTCATTCGGTTCAACAGTCTGACCGCGTCTGTCACATGGCCGCTGTGACCGACCAACCAACAAGAAGAAAAAAAACAACAACAGCAGCAACAACAGCCGGAGACTTTTAGGGACAAACGCACTTGAACCATAGTCTGATCATTAAAAAGAACAACACAAACACAGCATTGAGCTACAGGGAGGAGAGAGAGAGCAAACACACACACACACAGTGACTGACACACATTTATATACACACACAACTATTAATATGCACACAGGTATAAGTGTGTGAGTCTGCAGCGATCTCCATTAGAAAACGTGAGTGTTCGACAGAAATGAAGAGGCAGTAAAGCTTAAATTAAATGACTGTTTACGTAATGAAGCAACAAAGAGACCAGCGCCGGATTCTTCGTCGCCGTTTGTGTGTATAGGAGATAAGATGAGAGAGAGAGAGAGAGAGAGAGAGAGAGGAGGGGGGAGAGAGAGGAGGGGGGAGAGAGAGAATGTATACAAAGTAAATTGAAGAGTAATAGGGTGAAGTAATGGAGAAGTAAGGCGGCGACAAAGACGAGATGGAGGGAGGTGTGTGTGTGTGTGTGTGTGTGGTCGTCTGATTCAGAAATGCAGGATATTTAGCTGCTGATGTGGAGAAACAAAACCCTGAATGTTAAAGAGTGACTTCAGCGTTCGACTCTCCGTGATTTCTGTTTCACAATTAAACCTAAACTCAGAGAGAGAGAGAGAGAGAGAGAGAAAAAACTGGCTTTCTCCAACCATGTGTGTGTGTGCACCACGGGCACAATGCATCTGCAGCTCTGATGTGGCGGCCACAATGCATCTGCAGCTCTGATGTGGCACGTATGCACAGAGTGTGGGTATGGATGTGTGACTCTGCAGATGTGTGGGTAAGGAAGGGGCGAGACAGAAAAGGTACGCCGCTCTCCGAGGCAGACGAAAACAAACAGCCGCTCATCTCAACCTTTGTGCACATACCATCTACCTACCCACACACACACACAGACATATCTATATATTTATATACAGACCGTGCAGAGCTGAGCCCCTAAAACCACCCACACTTTGTGACAGACATGCGCAGTCACCGCACAAAGTCAGACAAACACGTATGCAGCACATAAGACACACACCAACACACACGCACACACACACACACTGTCAAAGGCTCTTGAAAATGAGGAGGCAGACATTAACATGCCATAAATGGAGATGGAGGGAATCAAGAGGAAAAGAAAGAAGAAAAAAAAACTGCATACATACATTAATTTGCACACTCTCTCTCAAACACACACACATACACACTCTCTCTCCCTCTAACACACCCCGCTTTGCGTTGGCACACACACACACACAAACATGGAGGGAATCAAGAGGAAAAGAAAGAAGAAAAAAAAACTGCATACATACATTAATTTGCACACTCTCTCTCAAACACACACACATACACACTCTCTCTCCCTCTAACACACCCCGCTTTGCGTTGGCACACACACACACACTCTCGCTCTCAAACACACACACACACAAAACGCTCACCCCTCCTGCCCCCCCCCCCCCCCCCCCCCTCTCCTCCCCCCACCTCCATCCCTCCTTTTCTCTAAAGACCGTTCCTCTCCTCTTCTCTCTGTCTCTTAAATTCCATCAGATTTAAAGGTGGCCATTTTACATAAAAGCTCTGAAACGACGACACTTTAGTGCAAACCATCTCCTCATCTTCTTTTTTTTTTTTCCCCCTCACTGGGTATTTCCTCCCCCATGTTCTTTTTTTTTTTTAACCCTGTCCCTTCGATGAACTTTTTTTTTTAGTTAAGTCTCCACAGATCTCACCGTGTGCAAAGAACAGAAGGTGGGGGCATGGTAGGGATTTTGGGAAGAAGACAAATAAAAAAAAAACTGCTAGCGTGCTGCACGACATTCAGTCTCATTCAGACGAGAGTAGACATTATCTTGACTGTAGCAGGAGGAGCACACGGTGTACCAACGCTTCTAAATGATCATAGTTTCTCAGCGGTCGGGTCTTAAAGATGGAGATGATTGTCAAAAAAAAAAAAAAAACTGGGTCAGTTCTTCTTCTACAGTTTGAATTATGTCCTGTGGCGGATAGTGAGGCGTCACTCTAAAGCATCAGGGCGGACGCTAGCGTCACCTCAGATTTGACACATGGCGATAAGGTGCTTGTTTTAGTTCTCCTAGTCCATCAAACACCACTGTTTGATCAAGAGATAATTTGTTGACGTTTTGCTCACAGGCCCTGCTGCAAATTAAATTACCATTTACTTTGTTCTCAAGTTCAGGTATCTTTATTTCACTGGGATGAGCTCATGCTAATGTGGGTAAAAGCATGTAGAAC